TGTAGCACAGGTTGGCATGTAATCTCACTTGCACAGGTGACAGTAGCAGTGTAGACGTGGTGGCATAGGCTAGCAAATAGAGTATGGGCCTTGCTCCCCAAAAGGCTTGTACTCTGGTTGCTCGCCTGGGCTGACGCCCATGCTGCCATGTCTACACTACTGTTGTTACCTGCGCTAGCTAGATTGAAGCTAGCACAGGTACACCTACCTGTGCTACAATCAAACCTTCACTTTAGTGTAGACATACCCTCAGTGAGGGGTTTCTGCCTAAGGTACATTCCCAACCTCCCATAACCAGCTGCCAAGGGCCTGGCTAGAGCTTCCAGTGGGATTTTGGTTCCTAGTATCTAAATCCCTTTTGAAAATGAGACTTAAGGCAGGTCTATACTTAGAATGCTACCTATGCTGATGGGAATCCTTCTCCCATCAGCGTAGGTACTCCACCTCCACAAGAGACGAAAGCTATGTGGACGGGAGAAGCCCTCCCACTGACAGACCGCGTCTACACCGGGAGTTAGGTCAGTCTAACTCTATTGCTCAGTGGTGTGGATTTTTCACATTGCTGAGCAACGTAGTTGTAGAGACATAATTTCTTGGGGTGGGCCTGGTCTCAGGCTTCTAAACTGTTTAAGTGGTGCAAAGCTGAGTGCAGCAACGCGTAGATACTTTTAAAAATCCGGGCCATGTTAATAATTCACTCATCCACACCCCGAGCACCTTTCACCCCAAGGACCTGGTACCACATGTTAACTCGACAGCAGAGACGCTGCAGCTGGAGGCCCCTGAGATACAAGGCCAGAGCTCCCTGAAAGCAGGGGCCAGTAGGGTTTCCTCATGGCACTGAACTGTCAGGCTCCACCCTGCATAGGGAGCCACAGCCCCACTCCTGCGGCAGCTCCTCTTGGACTGACGGGGAAGAAGATTCAGAACCAGGCAGCTCCTTCTCCCCTTGTAGCCCTTTGTCCGTCAGCTAGTTGGCTCTGAGGTGGGTGGAGTTACTATGCACCGTTGGAATCCCCACAAACCCTGTGGGTTTGACAGTCTGATGCTTGTCTGCGCTGTTGCACTGTCTGATCAATGCCCTGTTCCAACAGCTGGTGCTATGGAGCTCTCTATGGGACTTACAT